TCCTCCACAACTAGATTGAAGAACAAAACGACAGCAACTTGTCTGTTCCCCTTCCCCCAATTCCCCAGCACTGTTCCCATCCCCCCAATCCCCCAATAAAAATCTTTAAAATAAATAAATAAATAAATAAATAAATAAAAATGGATGCTCTTTGATATTATAAATATGACTTCATATCTGCATCCTTATTAGCAACTGTTTAAGTTCTTAATGAGTTGCACCTTTCTGAAAGCTGCATAATCTTTTCAAATTCTCCTGAGTGTTCAGCAACCAGCACGAGAGCCATAACATTGGCCTGAAACAAAAAAGAACAGAACAGTTAGAGTCTCAAACAATATACATCCAATATAATTAAATAAAATTGTTTTCTGTGCTTTTAGTTATCCTTACTCATCCAGGTTCCATCGATATGATCACAATGACTATCAACTGAGTACTCACTGTGTTTCAGGCACTATGTTCAGAGAACATAAATATTACCTCATTTTATCTACACAACCCTATGAGGTAGGCACTGCTGTAACCCACAGTATAGATCAGGAGACAGAATTCTGGACGGACTCAAATAACTTGCCCAAGATCCTTAGGCCTGTGTAACTCCAATGCCCACACTCCCAACTGATGTGTCATAGTGAAAGATAGCTGCATGTAAAAATGTACTGGCAACCACTTCCGACTAACACTTTTGGGGAAGACCATGAAAAGCTACTTATAATGAATTTCATAAACACTTCCAAAAATTAATAATTTTTTTCCCAAACGAGTCAAAATGTTTCAGAAAACTTTTATAATTTCTCCAAGATCTTCAGAATAATGTTAATATTGGACATGACAGATGAACTCATCTGTACCATATTGCTGGCAAGCATGGTGGCTGGGGAACATGTTTTGGATTCAGAGTATCTTGTCTGCATCACTTTACTAGTTTACTAGTTTTACTAGTCTGCATCACTAACTTGTCTTTGGACAAGTTAATCTCTAGGCCTCAGTTTCCTGATCTATAAAATGGACAATTGTTGGCTATAAAATAGTAGCTTCCTCAGGAGGTTGTTGTGAAACATTAAACGAGATGATGTACAGAAAGGGGTTAGCTCGGTACCTGGTACATAGTAAACAATAAATGCAAATTATTAACGTTTTGGGCTGGCCGAGTGGCGCGATGGTTAAGAACTCGCTTGGGATGCCAGAGGGCCCCGGTTCGGATCCCACATATGAGGGCCAGTGACACTGCCCTCTACANTGGGCCAGTGAAGCAACGTCCTCCACAACTAGACTGAAGAACAAAACGACAGCAACTTGTCTGTTCCCCTTCCCCCAATTCCCCTGTACTGGTCCCATCCCCCCAATTCCCCAATAAAAATCTTTAAAAAAAAAAAAAAGATCATTATTTAATGTGCTCTCTAGCGATTAATATAGAAAGATGATTAATTAACCTACAAAGGCAAATTGAGTCTTTTGGCGAGCTGGACCTGTCTGATTAGGACCTGTCTTTGCTCTTCCTTCTGCTCTTCAGTGCCAGCAAATCTCGGGGAGAAATCTAGTCCCACCTATAACAGAAGAATAAAACAGACAATTACATTTTTATGGTTTAATGAACCCCAAAAGACATACTATGGCAGTAACATCCAAGAGAAATATAATGGGAGCCATACGTGCAAGCAAGCCACATATATAACTTTACACTTTCTTTTGTAGTACCACATTAAAAACACTAACAAGAAACAGGTGAAATTAATTTTAATACTATACTTGATTTAATCCAACATATCCAAAACATTATCATTATTACTATATAGTAATATATTATTATTTCAACACATAGTCAATAAAAAAATTATTGAGTTATTTTACACTCTTTCATTGGGGTGCTAAAACTTTGAAGTCCTCTGTGTGTTTTATACTTATAGCTCATTTCAGTTTGGACCAGTCACATTTCAAGTGCTCGACAGATGCATGTGATCATCACGTTGGACAGTCAAGATTATAAATGTCTGCTTCTCTTGATACTATTTTGGCATGCATTGCTATAATCTATATTTTGAATTTAAGTGTTATCCCTATCTTTTATCTTTATCTTTAATTAGAAGTAGAAAAGTGATAAAAATGTTTCACAACTGTAAATTATTTAATAAAACATGTTTTTAATCACAAGCTCTAGCTTAAAGTATGTTTGTATATACTATTTTAACTTAACTAAAGAGTTAACCTATATTGAGTAAAAAAAGAAATCAGAGCAAAGCATACAGAAATGCTAATAAAGTATTAACATAAGCGTTTGGTGAGGCTTTTTATTGTTTCATCCCCAAGCTCTTTTGCTTATTGAGAAAGTATCGACAAATTACTATTCAGCTGAACAGGGTGAACACAATTATCCAAGTCAGTTATAATTGCCAATACTGAATTAAGGATTATTTCATATACTATATGAAAGTCTGAATTAGAAGTTATTTGATCAGCTAACAAGTGTTTACCTCTCCAATTGCCAACAATCGATCCTTATACTTCTCAATCATAGGCAAAGCTACATCCAAATCCTGGGAGAAAAAAAAATTTGTTAAAACAGAGGGAGAAGGAAGCTGATATTTTATAAGCACCTATTATATGCCAGGCACTATGCTGTCCTGGGTCCTTTACACACATTCGATTACTTTAACCAGGTGAGGAACTAGGAATAGCAATCCTTTCATAATGGTGAGTACTTCTTCCGTCTGGAAATGAGTAGTAATATCCCATACCCATTCAGGTTACAAGAACATAACTGTTTACAAACATTCCCACTTAAACACTTCCTTCTATTGAGGAGGCATTTCCTGGCATTTGGGAGGACTGATTTGGATTGGATGAATGCCTAAGCAAGAGAAGAAAGCCACCTTTGTGAGTTTTTGGGAGTGCCTTATGTTATCTTCTCCACTTAGGGTACTAAGGCTTTGTGAGTTTATAATAGTAATAATCCCATACATCCTTTGCACTATTTTCATCCATCTTTATAATACTGCTTGGCCTAGTTTTGTCCTAAAGGTTAAATATATAAACACTAAATAGCACATATATGCGTGTTTGTCAACTATCAAAATAACTGTGTACCATTTAGTTTCCATGATATTACTATTTCCACTTAGGGAATTTGCCCTGTGGGGGTTCTCTTGAAAGGCAAGGGGAAGACAAATATATGGAAAATTTGCTTCTAGATCTCTTTTAAACTACTTTGAGGATTTTAGTCTCAGGATATGTAAATTACAAGGTATTTCTAATAAGGATAATCAGAACAAGGGAGAATTGAGAAGAAGGAGGTAAAACAGATGGTAGAGGAACAGGAGGAGATCTTACAATAATGCCTCAGGAGAAAAGATGAGGGAAAGTAAATTGAGGCCTTAGAAATACATTCTAGTAAATCAATGAAGAGGAATTAACATTGTCATGAGGAGTTAAGAGTTATAACCCTAGATAGCACAGGAGGTGTCGGACAAAGCTGAGTAGGTTAAACAGTGTCAGGGAAAGCTTTTCCATACCAAACATCCAAACTACTTTGTGTCTCTGGGGGAAATTGGAAAGATTAGACAGGAAATGTCTGACACTTAGGAAGTCTTCATCAGGAAAAAGTTGCATATTTGGATGAAGACCAGATACAGGAGAAAACATGGTTCTGGGAATATGTATTATCTATGGAAAAAGCAAAACAGATTTATAATGACATTGTTCCAACTCCTTATGAAATAATCTGTAAGTTTCTGGCAAGTCAAAGATAGCAAATAGCAATTAATACAATTCATATTACTAACATGTGTAAATATATTTGTGTGTGGTCTTATTTTATTTTAATAGATATAAAAATATTTTTAAGGACATTCACAGGTCTATTTCTGACTTCAGTTCTATTCCTCCTTCCTCCATAAGGTCTCAAGTTCCTTACCACCTAATGTTTCTATTATGGGGTTTTTTAAGATCCTATGTCTCTATACCCTATGATTGGGAACACCACTAGTATATTCACGATTTACAAATGAGAAAGTTGAGACTTGGCAAAGTTAAGTAAAGTGCCACAGGTCACAGAAGCCAGCAGGCCAGGTTTCTCTGACTTCAAAGCCCATGCTGTTTCCACTATGCTGCTGAAAGAAGAGGAGAGAGAAGAAGGGAAGGAGGAAAAGAGGGAAGAAAGGAAGAAGGCAAAAGGGAAGGAGAAAAAATTCATTCTGAATGATTTTAAATAATTACAATAGATTTTTGATTAAAGAAAATGTTTAGTCTTCAGAACCTTTAGAATAGGGGTCAGGCGTATAACAGAAATGAGTGAAGTGGGCCAAGTAGGAACAGGCGCTAAAGGGAGAGCACATACCCTGCCTGCAGGGGCAGCAGGTTGTGGTCAGTAAATTGTGGTTCTCTGAAGTATTATTCCCAGGACCTGAACCCTGCTTGGCAATAACATTTATTGAACGAACTAATTCAGGAATACGTTGAAAGATTTGTGTGTTGCTAGGCAATTTTCATTTTATAAACCAAGTTAATTTAGTGAGTACTAACTACATACCTAGCTTTGTACCACACATTAGAGGCTTGTAATCTAATCAATGTGGGAAAACTAAATTATGCTATGGACTATAAACACCCTAGGAATAAAATAGGAATCACTGGTTATCTTTGATCTTTTCCAGAGGGCTATCCTGAGATTTGATGAGTTCACCGACTGCTTTGAGAAACTAGAAGTATCTATGTCTAGTTGGTATTTTAATTGCTTTTGTAAGTTAAACAGTTCTTCCTATGGGTTCTACATTCATGCCAAAAATATGCCCAAATCACCCACTTCTCTTCACCTCCACTGCTACCACTCTGGTCCAATCTACCATCATTTCTCACGTGGACTTTTGCAATAGCTTTCTAACTATTTCTCCTCCCCTTTTTTTCCTTCTTCAAAATTGATGCGTCACATCATAGCCAAGGGGTTCTTTTCAAAACATAAATCACATCTTGTCACTCCTCACTTTAAATCCCCCATTGATGTAAACTAGAATCCAACAAGGCCCTTTATGAGGGGATCCCTGCCCAATCCCTCTGACCTCATCACTAGTATTTCTCCCTCCTTCTAGTCACATCAGCCCTCTTTCTTTTCCTTGACCATATCCAGCTTGTTCCTGCCTTAGGACCTTTGTGCTTGGTTGTTTCCTTTGCCAACCACACTCTGGCCCCTCTTTGTGCTTGGCCAATTCCTTTGCAGCATGCAGGTTGCAGGTGAAATGTCACCAACTCAGAGAGGCCTTCCTGGACTACACAATCTAATAACCAGCTTTTCTCCCTACATTATACTGTAAACATTTTCCATGTTGCTACATAAACCTTATCATCCTCATTTTTTATAAAAGCATTATATTTAACACTCTACAAGGTAACTAATTATTCTTTTATTTCTGAACCTCTAGGCTGTTTCCCCTTTTTCTCTATTACAAATAATGATGCAACATGGGCTGGCTGAGTGGCTCAGTTGGTTAAGAGCGCAAGCTCTAAGCCACAGGGTAGCCGGTTCGATTCACACATGGGCCAGTGATTTGCTCCTAAGCTGCTGCTGAGCTGCCAACAGGTGGCCAGATGGCTCAGCTGGTGAGAGCACGTGCTCCTAACAAGGTTGCCGGTTCGACTCCCACATGGGATGACGGGCTATGCCCACCGGCAACTAAGATTGAACATGGCACCTTAAGCTAAGCAGCCATGAGCTGCCGACGGGCGGCCGGATGGCTCAGTGGTTAGAGTGTGTGCTATTAGCAACAAGGTTTCTGGTTTGACTTTCGCATGGGATGGTGGGCTATGCCCACCAGACACAAAGACTGGACACGGCACCTTGAGCTGAGCAGCCGCCAGCTGCGGCTGGACGGCTGGATGGTGACTGGACTTGGAGCTGAGCTAGGTGTGCCCTCCACAACTAAGACTGAAGGACAACTTTGCTGTTCTCCTTCCCCAATTCCCCAACACTGTTGCTCTTCCCCAATTCCTCAATAACAAAATCTAAAAAACACAAACAAAACAAAAAAAACCCCAAATAATGATGCAACAAACATCTCTGGGAAAGAAGGTAGTATTTCCTGATTTTGGATTATTGCCTTAGACTATAAATCAGAAAGAGAATTACTGAGTCAAAGGTATTATTATTTTTTATGGTTCTTGTTTTATCTGTTACCTTTAATGTGACACTTCTTTGGTCTTCTGGTGAAAGTCCCTGAACTGGATGAACACCCAAGCATGGCAGGAGAAACCCATTATACCTAAAAATGTAGAATGAATTAAGAAAGAGAGCAGGGATATTAGACTAGTATACAATGTTACTCTAAAGAACGAGCAGGAAAATAATTTTTTAGGGCTATGTTAATATGATTTTTTCTTCTCTTTAAAAATGGATGCTCTGGGCCGGCCGAGTGGCGCGATGGTTAAGAACTCGCTTGGAACGCCAGAGGGCCCCGGTTCGGATCCC